AATTTCTTGGCTTTCATACCCCACCCCTCAACTCTTCCTGCATAAAAGCCACATGGAAGTGGGGCCCACCTGAGGGCCACAGAGGACAGCGTCATCTCTAAAGTCACGGGAGCAGGAGAGGGCTCTGTCTCAGCTCAAGCAGCAGCGAGTAGAAAATGCCCAGCCAGTTCCACAGAGGCTGTGAGGGCGTCCGGCAGTTTTACAAGTCTGAGTTTTTGTGTGAACAGGACAGCAGGCAGCCCCGTGAGACGGGCCATGCGTGTCTGCCTCAAAGGATCTCGGGCAGTGTGTCCTGAGTGGAAGGGCACGTGCCGTTAAGAGAAGGTGGGGCGGAGCGCTCATCTTCTGGAGTCTGTGCTCTGGGCTTTTCAGACTTTGTTCTGGCCCACATCATAACCCTCTTGTCTGCACCTGCCCTCATGGGAGCACGGACTTGGCTGGTACAGCAGAAGAGCCCCACAGTGGCCTGGAAACTGAATGCGGAATCCGAGTTCATTGATTAGGAACTTTCATTGTAACCCCTGTGTATCTCTAGTTTAAAAGAAAGTTGTATCCTTAGAGAGCCTAGTGCCATTGCCTGTGAACAGTGAAGGGTGGACAGTCCTGTGCCCCCCCCCGTGAGTGGGCATGTTCCCCTCAAAACAGCGAGTTTGGGGCTATAAGAATAGTTCCTTTTTAAAAAAATATATTTTTATTGATTATGCCATTACAGTTGTCCCATTCTCCCCTTCATTCCCCTCTACCCTGCACACCCCCTCCCACCCACATTTCCCCCCTTTAGTTCATGTCCATGCATCATAAGTCCCACACTACTCTTGCCCTCCCCCTATGTTCTCCCATTGTCTATGCTACTTATTCTCTGTACAGAGAATAGTTTCTTTTAAAGGGACCGGCTGGCCTACTCCAGAAGCTGTCAGTAACAGAGTCAGGATGCATGCAGAGAGAAAGGCCCTCGACCCTGCCGCCAGCATCGTGGTTAATCTGCGGAGCATAACCAACCGGGCCTTCTGCCTGGAGGGAGGTGTATTGGAGGGTGCATTTTAAAATCAGTGCCTTTCCTTAACACCCTGAAAATGCCACTTTTGAAAATAGAAATTCTATTTTTGACAACCTTTGAGAAATAAACATGTAAAAAGTCTGCGAAAGTTGTAAAACTATTCCATATCACTTAGGTGGTTTTTAAAAAGCTTTATAAGTGTTCTTCCCATAATAATTTGCCATTGCTCACCATGATGAATGGCAACCCAGATGTTAATTTAAGACACTTTTCAAGTCTTCTTGTCCTCTCAGCAGCACTAATGCTATTGACCATTTTAACTCTCTCTGCCTTTGACTTCTGGCTTTTCTCCCACCTGTCTGGCTGCTCTGTGTGTCCTACTGGAGGCTGCTTCCCCTCTGCACAGTTTTTATGTGAGCAGGTTCCAAGAGCCTTGGTCCGAGGCCTCAGTCCTGCTCCTCGCCCACTCCAGACACCACAGAGGTTGCTCCGTAGATCTACATGACAGCCCCAGGGCGCGGCGGAGGCTTACCAGTTACGTTAGTACAGCGAGTGCCAGCAGAGATGCAACCCTGTGGCCAAGAGCAGGGCCTTCAGTGCGGGAAGAGCGGCCTGGGGACCTTGTCAGGGATTGTGTTGCCTCTTGTCCAAGAACGGGATTGGTGCCATCTCTACAAAGTGTCTTTCTATCTTCTCTGCAACAAGGAAACAACAAAACCATAAGAACCCTCACATGTGCAAATCACCTTACAGTTAGTTTCATAGTGATAACACCTCACCATCTTACCTGGGCTGCCCTGGTGGGCAGGTAAAGCAATCATGAATTGCAGGGACCAGGAAGTGACAGGCAAAGCGAACTACCTGTGCCCTGCGCAGAAAGCAGCAAGGGAGGGTGTAGCCCCAGACCTCACTCACGCAGCCTTTTCGTGGAATCCAGGCAGGGAGCAGAGGAGTGAGGAGGGGAGATGGCAAGAGGCCGAATCTAGAGGCAGCCAGTAAGCACGTCTGTCCCCTGGCCTCCATCACCAAGGAAGCCCAGCTAGGGCCCTGGGGTCACCGCTCTGTCACTGCTCTGCCCTGGAAGTCGGGAGCCCACTCATGGGCCTCGCCGGGCTCTGGTCCCGGCTGTGGGGTGAGTGGTCTTCAACGAGTGGGAAGGAGCTGGCTCCTGTGGGAACATCTGTTCCTCTAGCTGTTTAATAGTTCTGTGCCTCTCACACAGACATTTTTATTTCTGCAAACCCATCATTATACTAATGGATTGTGACGGCTATGGGATTGAGGGCTCCAGAGAGGCCAGGGGGCTCCCCTATATTCACTGTACTTTTCAGCCCCAGACAACCAGATTTATTGCTTGTGCACTTCCATATTATGTCTGTGTAATTTTGTAGTAGTTCATTTTTTTCAGCCTTAAACGTTAAAAACAAGTAAATAGACGGGGAGCAGAGGGAGCAGGCCTGCTCTCTCAGACTGAGGGCTTTTCCCCACTTCCATGGAACACCTCGGGTTCAGGCCTGGCCCGTCCCCCAGGGTTCTCTGGACCAGGTTAGGGGTGGAGCGGTGAGGGGAGCGCTCTGAGACCCTCCTTGGGTTTTGTGCCTGTTGGGTGGGATGCCCCGCCTGGCTTCTATCCAGCCTCCCCTCGTGTAAGGAAGATGGTTACTCTGGCCAGCCAGCCTGAATTTGGGCCTGAGTTGTTTTGATTTGGAAGTCTGGTTGTCAGATACTTAAAAGTTAACTCCCCCCACCCTGGAACTCAAGAAGCCATTGTTTCCGCTTTCTTTAAATTGCTGTGGCATGTTTTCTAAATGAGGTTGCCGCTCTGACTAAAGATTCCAGGTTTGGGGCTGGGTTTGTCTTGAGGAAGCAGGGGAAGGCCAGGGTTCCCACAGCTGGGGAGCTGGGGTGCAGCGGTTTCCTCTCGTGCAGGAGCCTCAGCAGCCGTGAGGCATGGTGACACTAGGCACGTAGGCGACTCTGCCAGAGACGCCTGCCTTTCAGGGAGCCGGAGAAGGGGCCACAGCAGCAGGAAGTGGGGGTTTGTTTTCCTCCAGAAGTGAACGTGACCTCCGGGGGCAGGGGTTGGGAGTCCTCAGCAGCACATGCTGCCGTGGCCCTTGCACAGAACTGGGACCTATCAGTAAGAAGCTCTTTGCCGTCCATGTGATAAGCCTAGTATCCTTGGCTTTTTCATTAGGGGCCTTAGTGATGGGGACTGGGAAAGCGCAGTCTTGGGACTTAGACTTGAGTTTGAATGGTCACCCAGATCAGCCATATGATTTGGGCCTCTCTGGGCCCCCGGTCCCTTAAACGCTCCTGGGTATTGTGAGAACTCAGTGACTTACTGTCTATAGGATGTTTGGGATAAGGGTTCCCATCCCTGTCCACCTGCTGTCAGCCTAGCACCTTGGACAGGTCACTTCCTTCGTGGTCCTGGTTTCCTAGATGGAGCTGACACCCCTGGATGGCTGCTTCCAGGGTGTCGGATCAGATGAAAGGTGCGTGGTGGGCAGTTACTGGCAGTACCTGTCAGCGTTGGTCGCCGCCCCGTCCCGGGAGGTGCTGGCTGCTGTTGCTGTCATTGCAGAGGCCCGTGGAGGGTGGCCAGGCCATCAGGACTGTGGGGGGTGGGCCGTGTCTGCAAGGCCAGGAAGCCTGAGCACCAACCACAGCACTGAGCAGGGGGTCTTACCAGGACCCTTTGTTTGGTGTCACTGGGCAGCTGGCAGGTGTACCACTGTCAGGTGGCACATTGGCTGCACGCTCACTGCAACTTTTCCCCATGGTGCTTGGCAGGTTCGCAGCCCTTTGTGCTGTGATCTGGTAACTCCTCAGAGCAGTTGGTGAACAGTGCCTCCCGACCAGGTCTGTGGTTACAAGAGGAATGACCTCTGAAATAATTGCCCATGGAGCTGCCGCTCTTCAGAAGGCCTGTGTTTGAGTGAAAGACCCCAGAGGGCAGCATTCCAGGTGCTCACGGTTAGGGGCCAGTCATGAGATAACAGAACTTGTGAAAAGTTGCCCATGAAGGGCTGTCACCGGGCCTAGTTCCCATCCTCCCCTCCTGCCCCTCATCCGTGAGCCGCAGGTCCCCCACTCTGTGTCAGCCCTGAGAAGGGGTCAGGGATGGCAGACTGGGCAAACCTGCATGTTGCTGCAGATGGGAACAGCACTGTGCTGTTCTGTCATCGCTGGGTCCTGGGAGGAGTAGGAACCGGGCCCCAGGAGCAGGCCCCTGCCTTCAGTAATACAGCGTGGTCTTTCCCAGTCAGCTGGGAAGTGAACTCCTACTGCAGCTGAAGGTGGCATGAAGTCAACAGTGAGACGAAAACAGGAAGGGTGTGGGAAGTGCTCTCTTGCTCATTTTTGTAGCATTTTTGTAAAGTGTGAGAATTTCCAGAATTTCATTGTGTAGTTTTATCCTCAAAACAATTTTTGCGAATAAGGATAAAGGCGACCTCCTAGCAAACTGCATTACCATATAATAAAATGTTCTGAATGGTAGGTTACTTTGTTACTAGCAGATAATTTAACTGGAATGTGGAGTAAGGTGCCTCTTACATGTCGAGGTGGCTCTCAGGGAAGCACGCAGCCACCGTGTTACTCAGCTCCTCATGTTTCCTAATGCAAAGTGGCAGCTGCTGATGGCTTCAGAATACAGAGCCCCCCAAATATCTGTAAATATTTGCCTGGAGTCCCTAGCAGGGGAGGTCAGGCTAAACTGGAACTTTTCTTAGACCCTCTATTCCCCAGTGCTCCGTGAGGGACACATGCAGAACTGCAGGACATGTGCCCAAGGTTCTTCGGGTGACGGGGCCGGTCGCTGACAGCAGGTGGGTCTCCAGACCCGGCCCCCAGCACACTGGGCTTGCCCCAGAGGCTTGCCCTGAGCAGGACTTGACATCCTGTGGCATCTCAGACCCCTCCACCCTCCTCAGCAGTCTGGGAAGATCACAGTGTATGTTGCTTATGTGTTTTTCGTTTGTTTTTCATTTTCCTTCAGAATATTGACATTACAAACTTCAGCAGCAGCTGGAACGACGGGCTGGCCTTCTGTGCGCTTCTGCACACGTACCTCCCAGCCCACATTCCGTACCAGGAACTGAACAGCCAAGACAAGGTGAGGCGGGCTGCAAGCAGCCCAGCTCCTGGCACCCTCCCCACGGAGGGGGGTGGGGCAGGAGGCATGGAGGCAGCACCTTCTGTCGATGGGGCCACACCATTGGCATCTGACACGCCACAGTACTGGCTTACGGTGGCCCCGTTCTGGCTTGCTCTTATTCTGGGTCTAGGTTACTTGTGCTGAGCCAGCCAGTCCCTGACCCACCTTGTGTGGGACATTTGCCTAGTCCGGAATTCCGCAGGTAATGACACCCCTAGCAGGGGCCATCAGTCCTTGTGGTGGCAACAGTAACGATCGGGTTCACCAAGAAGTGGCCAAGGACGGCTGATCAAGGCAGTGCCAACCACAGCAGGGCAGTCTCCCACCGCCTCTGCATGCAGGCCCGGCTGTACTAAGACGTCCCACTTAGGGAGCTGCTTGGGGACAGGGTCAGGGAACAGCCCCTGCCCAGATCGACCCTGGGAGAGGGCCCGGGCTCAAGCTCTTCTCCTGTCTCCTGTGCACCCCAGCATCAGCCCCTCGTGCCCTTCACACAGCCCTTGGAGGCTCCCACAGTGAGGAAGCTCTTTTAACGGGTGTTTCTTATTTCATGTGAGCTTTTGGGGTTCACGTGGCTATGGGCTGATGTGTTGGAAACGACCCTTTTCTGTAGTGAAGAAGGAATGAGGGTTTGGGGACCGTTCCACAACTGGTCAAGTGGAGCCGGCAGGGCCCTGCGGAGGGGTGGCAAGCACAGTGCTGGGAGTTCTGAGAGCGCTCCTGCAGTTCGCTCTCGTCTGCCAGGAGGCGGTGGGCATCCGTCTTTCCCCGGCATCATATGTAGTCCGGGTCACCTTGCTCCTGGCCTTGTGTGTCTACCCCAGTCACACGGTTTCTTTTACAGCGAAGGAACTTCACCTTGGCCTTCCAGGCGGCTGAGAGTGTCGGCATCAAATCCACACTGGTGAGTCCCTATCTCCCCTGAGGGGTCCCTGCCAGGCCCTTCTTTCCATTAGGACGTGCTCGCCTTTTGCTCAGGGAGGTGCCAGGGTGCTGTGGCAGCCGATGAGGAAGAGCTGGTGCAGGCTCGGGCAGGGTTCCACCCTGCCCATGGGCACTTTATGCCTCACAGGAAGTGCCCCACGTTGGGAGGGCGGCCTTCATTCCAGCCCCAGTGACCTCGAGCCAGGCTTCTTTCGTCACCTTCCTCCATCACTGAGTCCTTGGTCAGAAGAGTGCTAGCAAGTGTATGAATGTCACCATCAAAGGCACATTCCAACAGTCTGTCTTAATTTGCCAAACCAGAGGGAGCGGGCGAGTGCCAAGTCCTGGAAGGTGGCTTTAAAAGCTGAACAAGTGGCTTCTGCACTTCACAAGAGTCATGGGAAACTGCCACTCCCAGAGCGAGAAGTGGGCTGTAGAAAACACGTGTGTCTCAGGGTCTTGTTGAAGCCTCTGCTCGGCAGCTTCAGCCCTTGTGCCAGATGCGCTTCCGTCGGGCTTTTCCCCGTCACGGGGTCCGACTTGCTGGGAGGAGGTGCTGCCCCCAGGTGCAGAGCTGATCCCCCTGCACCCGGAACCGCCATGAGATGAGCTGTGCGCCGAGGTGCCATCTGCAGGGTCATCAGGGCGCAGCTCGGGGGCTTCCACAGAGTGAAGAACCCGTGGGTCCGGGTCAGGGACCCCAAGCTTTCCCTCAGGTGCCATCTCCCCAGCTCTAGGGCCCCATCGCCCGACTTGAGGAAGTATTCACACCGCAGGTGTGCTCATGCAGCGCTCCGTAAACACGGCTTCTGGAGTCACAGAGGTCTCCATCGGGGTATTTTACATTCTTACATGTGAAGTTCTAATACATAAAAAGTGGGAGGTTCTCCACCCTAAAAAACATTTAGGCAAGACTCTCAGATTGAGCAAACATGGTGTTCTTCTGTACTCGCCCAGGGAACCTTCAGAGCTGTGCTGTTCTTGCCCGTGGGCCCCCTTGGGGGGTTACAGGCAGTCTTCGGGAAACCTCGGGTCAGGCACCAGCGTCTGGGGTTGCCCATGTTCATGTGCCCACATTGGGTAGCAGCTCACAGCTCACGGGTGTTCTGCAGAGGACAGTTAGAGAACAGTCCCTTTGGTAGTCTGAGACCACCGCCATCGGGAAGGGCATCAGAATGCTGAGTCCTGGAGCCCCACACAGGCCTTCCCAGAACGGTAACTGGGTGGGAAGGTCCCTCTGAAGCAACCACGGGGAGAGTTTGAGAAGAGAGGCAGGCAGGGGAGGGGTTCCAGGAGGTGAAACCCTCCCAGCCTTGGGGAGCAGGGAGGTGACCCCGGCGAGGGACTTGAGCAGGGCTGGGCAGTTTAGCGATGACACGGACACCCAGGGAGCGGGTGTCTTGGCAGGCCCTTGGCATGTACAATGGGGCTTAGACCAAAAGTCTTCTGAGGCCCTGCCCGGCCCCACGAGCCCACACTGCTGTGGTGGGGAAGCCGTGGAGATGAGCCGAGAGGAGGCATGCAGTTCTAACCAGGCCTCTTCCTCCCCCACCAGGACATCAATGAGATGGTGCGAACGGAGCGGCCCGACTGGCAGAACGTGATGCTGTACGTGACGGCGATCTACAAGTACTTCGAGACCTGAGCGCGCCCAGAGGACCTCCCCAGTCACCAGGCGACACCACCAACAGTAGCTGTGCGCCCCGTAAAGCTTTCAGCAACTCTGTAGGCTGCCCCCAAGCGTGTGAGCCTTCAGCCCAGCACCTCCACATTGGGAGAACTTGGGTCTGTATGGCCCATGGCTCAACCAAGCACCTTCCACGCGACCTGTCCAGTCAGAGGTCAGAGTGGACTCAGCACCCTGCGGGCACGCTGATGTGCAGCTGGAGCTCCTCTTCTGAAGAGAACACTGACCTGTGTCAGTGCTGCGGGCTATTTAAAATGAGGCTCGTGTACAGCTGAACTTGGGGGAGGGGTTACATTAGTGGGCAGCTCACAGGGGCGTAGTGAAAGCTTAAGTAAGCCACAGCACTCCCGCCTACTTGCCAGGGCAGGTGCCACTGCCCTGCACACTGAGTAGGGAACCCGGTGCCCGGCAGAGGTTCCTGCCCCCCAGCACCAGGCAGTGGGCCTCAGCTCTGTACTCGGGCTTGGTTCGAAGGAGTGTGGCACCACAGCAGTGGGACAGCAACCCCTTCCATGTGGCAGGGCTGTTACAGTCGACGCAGTTTAGATGTTTTCAGACCAAGCTCGCAGGTGACGACTCACAGTCGGGGTTCTCCGCTGCCACCGCCCCAGTCACGGGGCTGCGCCTGTGTGGATGGGAGACGGGCCAGGGGCCCCTCGCCGGTGCTCTGCCGACCTCCAGCCTTGACGGGTCTCGTAAATGCAGCTCTGGCTGTAGGGTTCTGGAAAAAAGACTTGATCATAAAGAATTCTCTAGTTTAAAAACTTTTTTTCCTCGAGCAATATCGAGGGACAATAGCTCCTGTTGTATTAGCACCACAGGTAAACTGCTTTAGTAAGCGTAGAGATAAAACCCAAACCTGGACACGAGCATGGCAAAAGCCGGGAATGGAGTTGGCGGTCGCAGGAGAAAAAACGAAACAACCCACAGGAACGCAGACGGTATAATTTAAAGTCACTCTGAGTTGCCCAGATACAACCCTCCCGGGCCAGAACTGAAGGAAGTGCCTTAACTCTCCTTGCAAGGGCAGCCGCCACAGCCCGGGGATGGAGCTGGTCCCCGGCCGTGCCGCCCCAGCCACCTTACAGGCGTCGGGCAGCCTCCCCACAGCCCCACCCACACAGTTGGAACCAGAGCCATGTCTGACAGGCGTTCTGTCGGACTGGCTCTCAGACTGGGCCTTGGCCCTCCTCGGAAATGGGGCCCAGGTCTCCTGTGCACCTAACATGGTAGCTTTTTGTTTCAATGATACCAAGTCCTGTTGCTTCCAGCACACAGCTGTGCTTAGCACCTGGAAAGGGACATGAGGAAGAGCTTCCACCGGGAGAAGCAGGCTCGCTGCTCCAGCCGCAGGTGCAAGGAGGGGATTTGCAGAAGGACGCTGGCCGGCGTGGGGTGAGGCCTCTTCATTCAAGGGTGATGTTCTAAGCCAGGAGTTCGACGCATCTGTAGCCTAAAAGAGGAGGTGGCCGTGATGAGACAGGCTGTGTGTGTGCCGCCTGCTGGCCACAGTCACCAGGTGGTTAGCGAAGGCCTTTCCACCCCATCCAGATGTCCCGACCTGGCTGCTCCAGCTGCTGCCTTGGCAGGGGGCTTTTTGTAAAATGCCTGCTTTTGGCTAAGGGAGGAGAGGTTGGTGAGCAGCGCCCAGCCCCTGAGCACACAGACAGACCTCAGTGGATACCTGTCCCCATCCTCCAGTCCTGGGTTCTGCTTCTATGTTTGCTCTGTAGGCAGGTGCTGTCCACTGAGGGGCTGTTCTGGTGAGAGCAACTGGTGTCTCTCCACAGCTGGTCCTTGGCGCCGCCCCCCCCGCCCCTTGCTCCCATTTGCCCTCACAGAGGCCTGTGCCCTAGTCTGGACCCAGGGTGTCTAATCTGCAGCCCTGGTTTTTGTTTGTTTATTTATTATGTTGGCGGGATGGGGAGTTGTCCTGAAAAGGGCAGCAGAGTATCATTATCGACTTAAAAATTTCTTTAAGCCGATAATGTTTCTTGGATCTGTAGTTCACACCTTTGTCCCTTCCCAGCCAGGTGAGCCAACCCTGGCTGCTCCTGCTGTCAGGGTCCCCAGTGTCTTCTGGAGGTGGGTGGCCACTGCTGATGGGCTGGCTTTGTCCAGCATGGTGCCCTGGGCCCTGTGACAGGGCAGAGGGTGGTCAAGGGGAGGGATTGGCCTGGGCTCAGCCTGTCTGGGGACCAGCCTGTCTCCCTGCCAACAGGCCATGTGATGGTACCTGGCTGAGCTGCCCACATCTGCATGTGGAGCACAGGTGGGAAGACTCCAGAAGTGTGACTCATTGCTTCTTCCAATAGGATCCTTGTAACACTTGGCTTTATCGGATGGTTCTAGATGGTCATATGTAACTGAAAATGATAACTCTTGAGGTGATTTTGAGGTGACATGAAGCTTCCAGAAAGTCACTTTTTCTCCCTTCAAGCATAAGCTTTACTGCAAAAGGGCCAGTTAACATTTCTATTTCTCTTGCCCACGGGCTTCTGCTGATGATACTTTTTAATTTTGTTCTATTAAATATTCTTGAATGTATTAAAATTGCCGAAACACATAAGGCTTGGGCTTTCCTAGTTCACAACCTACTGCTGCCTTTCTGACCTCACGTGGATGGGACTGGGGTCCCCTCCCGGACTGGCCGTGGCAGGGAGAACACACACAACTAGCCTCAACCTCCTCTGGCTTGTGGGGGGCAGGGGCAGGAGAGGCACTGCCTGGGCTGCAGCACACAGCTCAGCCTTGGCCAGGTGCCTGGGCCTGAGACAGTCTGGTGCAGGTGAGGCCGAGGTTCTGCAGCCCCAGACACTGAGACCCCCTGCTGCAGCCCAGACACGGGCTGTTCTGGGGTGGGGGCAGTCCCCTGAGGTTTGTGGGGTTTTTTAGAAATATATCTTCTTGGAGATAATTTTCAGGGTATATAAAATTACAGAAAAATTTCTCTAAGTCCTTAATGTTACTACTCAGAGGCAACCAACCAGCCCAGCCCTTTCCTCCTGCGCATCCCGTGTGGAGTGACTGGGAGCTGGAGCTGCAGTGAAGCTCTCCAGGATGCACACGTCACACACAGCGGAGCCTGTGGGGCCACCTCGTGCTCTGCACTGGGTGACCTGGGGCGCCCTTCCTGGGCCTGCAACCCCCTGAGTTAGGGTGTGGGTCAGCTGTGAGTGCTGGTGGCTGTGGGCGCCCATCATGGCCTGGCTCCCAGAGCACAGTGCCCGGGCCCTGGGGTCGCAGGGCTGGAGTGGAGGGGACTGGACCAGGACTGCTTGTGGCTCCTGCTCCTCCCCACTCACCGGCTGGGGCCTGGGGCTGTCGCTGTGACCCTGTGCTCCCGTCCTCTGCCATGATGTGCAGAGCTCATCCTGCTGCGGTCAGCGCGTGGGCCCTGCATGGAGTGGACGCTAGTCACAGAGGTAGAAGGGAGACCTGCACCTGGACCCAGGGCAGTGAGGGCAGCACTGGCTGTCCTAGCTGACGCCCCTCGGGTGTGGGATGCCCCACCCACACATCCCTGCTGCCAGTCACGCCAGCTGCCTCACGAGCAAGGTCTGAGGGGTCCTTTTCTGGTGCGACTTTCTGACCTGACAGGCCGTGGGGCCCAAGGGACTTCTCTGCTCTGCTGGGCCTCAGTGACTGGGGACACTGGGTTCATGGCAGGGCAGCCCAAGGGCTCTGCTTCCTTCGGCTTTATCTGCCCATTGCAGGGCAGCACCTGTGGGAAGGGCATCATTTTCACCTTGACTTAGGGGAGGTTCTAGACCCTTTTGGTGCCAGGGCTGTGATGGGCAGAAGCAGGAAAACAGGATCCTCAGGGAGAAGAGATCCAGGAAGGATTCCGCACCCTCCTCATCTCTCAGCTCTGCACTTAACACAGTCTTGGGTCGGCCTGGGTCTGTTCCAGGTTGGCCCTCAAGTGGAGGGCAGGGACCGTGCTCTCCAGGAGGTGGGTGAGGGTGGGTTCCAGCCAGGCCCCAGCGGCTGGGAGGGCTCTGACCCCCGCCATTCAGGACTGCCAGGCTGCACCCGTGCAGGAGGCAGGGTCGGGGCTGGGAGAGAGAGTCAGTGGTGGAGAGTGACAGGGCACAGCCCGGTGTCTGCCACCTGACCTGCGCCAGGCCACCCTGAGCAAGGGAAGGCCCCAGGAGCCCCTGGGGGAGGCCTTCAGCTTCAGGTGTATGTGGGTCCGGGTTCTGAGGAGGGTCCGAGGTCCTGGGGGCAGAATCGGAAGGGCCAGGGAAGGGCACAGGACAAGCGCTTTGAGTCACCAGCACCCATCCAGCAGGAAGCAGGCTGCTCCGAGCAGGAGTCTGGACACCCAGGTTGTCGTCCCCATCTCCCCACTAACACGTCTGCCACCAACACTTGGCACAGGTTGGGGCTGTTCCCATCTCTGCAATACGGTGATCCCAAGAAGGGGCCCCTGCTAGACTCTGGTGCCAGGCACTCTACTCTCTGAAGTGTGGTAGGGCAATTCCTGGGCGGGGGTGGGGAGGTTCCATGTTCCAGCCTCTGCTGCAAGCCATGTCTGGGCTCCGGGCGTAGGGCCATCCTCAGGGTGCTCAATGACGAGCGCTGGCATGCATGGAGCTGCCACACCTGCCGGCCAGCCCAGGACTAGGCCCACGCCCATCTGGGCTTCAGTGTCCACATCTTCTCTGATGCACCCAAATCAGCTCGGAGGCATGGAGCTCCTAGTGGGGTTGCTGTTTGACCCCAGAAGCCAGTACGGGCTGAAGCATCTTCCCGGGACTGGGTTGGAGGATGGGGTTGCCCCTGCAGCTGCCACAGTGGTGAGTAGCCGGGAGCTGCCTTCTCGGGGCTGCCTGAGACTGAACATAACCTAGAGCCCCATGAGGTGCCCCCCTTCCTCAGTGCCAGAGCCCAAGGAAGTATTTGATGCCCCTCCCTTTTGGAGGAGAAGTTGGCGAGTACCTCAGGCTGGCCTGGTTGGCTCCCAGTGATAGCACCCCAGCACCCACTGATGCTTTGTCCTGGGTCTGGCATTTCGTTCTCCCTGATGTGGCCCAGCTGGCCCCACAGCAAACAATCAGGGACCAGAGGCCACCCAGGTGCATCCTGGACAGGAACAAAGAGCCAGCAGGCTGGGAGGGGTGAGGAGCCTGAGAACGGAGTTCTGGAGCGGGAGAGCCCGGCTGGTCCCGGGAGCCTGGGCCTGCACCAGAGGAAGGGCGGGTGCCCACAGCCTTCAGGGCCTGGCCTGCGGCAGGACAGGGAGACCAAGGCTCAGAGGTAGACGATGGAACCTGACAGGGCATCCCTGTGCCCCCGCCCTAGGCGCTCCCTCAGGCCCGGAAGCCTGTCCCAGGGGAATGCCGCAGCCTCTCAGGACTGAGGTGGGCACAGGGTGGGGGAGAGCATGGCAAGGCCAGACCAGGGAAGTGGCCTTACGGCTCCTGGTGCCAGGGTGCAGGCTCCTCACAATGGGGGGGGGGGGGTGCAACAGCAGGGAGTCCCCCAGGAGGGCCTGGGGAGAATGTGAGTCAACCATGAACATGTCTGCCCCACTGGGACGGGGGTGGCAATGTTTGTGAACAGCCCTCCTCCATGTCCGCTTCCTGCCATCGCTGAGCTGGAGGGTCCTGGGCATGTGCTGTCTCTGGACCATGGCATATGACAGGTGATCCAGGCCCATTGGAGCAGCGCCCTTCACTGACTGACTCTGCTGCAGGGAAGACTGGGGACCTGGCTCTACCTCTGGGGTAGGCAGGTTCTGGGGGCCTGAGGAGCTGGCCCTGGGGCTGCAGGGGAGCCAGGTCCTACCTGACCACCCCGGCTTGAGGACACAGCTACCCTGGGCCTGGGGCACACCCACCAAATGTAGGGGGAGTGCCCACTGGGCTCCAGGGGTGAACTCTGAGGGCTTTGGCAATCAGGCCCTGAGGACCAGCTGCAGAAATGGACCCTTCAGTTCCTGAGCTTGGGAAACTGTGATAAGTGTGGCCTGATCGCACGTGGGGAGGCCTGGGTGGGAAGGGTCCTAGGCCCCAGAATGAAAATGGCAAGGGAGAGAATCACTGGGGCCCACGCTGGGCAGTAGGGGACAAGAGTGACCCCTTTGATTGGCCAAGGGTTGGTCTCTGCCCCATGAACCCCCATTGCCCCTCTGGGCCCCAGGCAACTCAAGACAAGCTGTGCTTTGTGTATTTGTTGAGTGAGGACTCGCATGAACATGGGCCCAACAGGTGGAAGCAGGAGGTTTTGCTCTCTCTGCCCCTTACCCGCCCCACACACACCCCAGGAGTTCGAAGGCCCAGAAGCAACGGTAGAGAGCAGAGGGACTAGGGGGAGGGTCCTCTGGCTGGGCAGTGCCTCCAGCTGCTACCTCATGGTCTGACTGGCTCACCAGTTTACAGGTGAGACAAGGCCCGTGGGGAAGCCGTAGCACCAGGGCAGCCCAGCTAGCAGGCCCAGGGCTAGGGTAAACAAGGGCCTCGGTAGATGGGGGTAGGCTCCTTTGGTCCCCCATTCTCCCTCAGTGGAGGTGAATGTGTTGGGGGGTGAGGCTCCACAAAGGCCTGGACTTTTGGGAGGGGGTGGAACAGGGCCAGGTTGGAGGTTGCAAAGGCATCTGGGACAGAGGGATGTTCCCTCTTCTAGCGTCAGGCGTGCCTTGCCCCATGAGGTCTTGAGTTTACCTCCAGTCGTGTCCCAGTCCTGGCCTCTCCCAGATTGCCCTCCTCCGCACTCCCTCACCTGCCTCAGAGGGCCCCACTGTCCATTAAAGGAGAGGGGGTCAGGGGAGCCAAGCAGGAGCCCAGGCTTTGGCCCTGGGAATAAACCAGGGAGGCTGCCAGGTGATCGAGGCTGAGTCGGGAGTCAGGGCAAGTGATGGACACAGTTGAGGGCTCTGGCTCCTGGGACATGCTGGCCAAGCACCTGCGCTCCCACTTCCCACCTGCTGGCTCCTCCAGGCCTGCTGAACAGGAGACACTGCCCTCCTGCCCTGGCCTCAGCCCCAAGCCCAGCCTGGCCCTGGGCAAGTCCTTCTGCCCTGGGCCTCTCACTGAAACCCACCAGCCCCGGGAAGCTCAAGAATGCGAGGGTTCCTGCACACCTTTGTCCACCAAGACCCTGGCAGACTGACGCGGCTCATCCTGTGTGCAGAACTGAGGTTACTCCAAGTCTGCCCGGATGCAAGGGTCAAAAGTTGGTCCCCTTGTATGGCTGGACTGGGGCCGGATGTGAGGTCGTTTCCAGTTTGAAGTCTCCAGAACATGAGCCTGGGCTTGTGGGGAGGACGACTTCTGGCCCAAGGGTCTGAGATTCCAAGCTGGTCTGTGACACTCTTCCCTTAGCTCAGAGAAGTGTGGGAGGGGCCACAGGGTCTAACTACACAGCAGAGGCTGTAAGAACAGGAGGGGCCTTGCCCAAAACCTGGGCTGGAAGAGGCAGAGGGGTCACTGAAAATTAGGGCCAGCTTCTTAGAGGCATTCCTTGAGCTGAGGGGCCAACCCTCCCTCATCCCAACCACCCCAGGCCCAAAGCAAGAGTCAGGGAGTGAGGGAAAGCTAGGGATCAGGCAGGGTGTGTCCCTGAGGACCCTGAGTTTTGGTAAAGAAGCTGGACTTCGGTCTTCAGAAACTGGAGAGCCATGGGAAGATTTGCAGAGGAGTGGGCACAGGGCACTTTCTGATTCATAGCTGGGCATGGGAAAGGAGGTGACATAGGGCACTGATCTGACCCAGCCTAGCTCAGCTCCGATGATTAGGGACAGCAGAACTTCGGGAGGACCAGAGGGGCAGGGACAGACCTGGGCGCATATTGGAGGAGAGGGAGTGTGGACCGGGCCCATGCGCTTCATTGGGCAGGGGGAGGCTCCTGGGGCCGGAGGTTCATTTTAGGGGAGGGGATGTGGCGCTGGAAGAAGTGTAGGAACCGACGGAGCCTAGGAGAGCCAGCTGGGGCTGCGACGCAGCCCGGGCCCTACTGTGGGAATCGCCAGACTCTCAGGCCGGCTACATCGGTTCCCCGCGGCCTCCCGGTTGCATTCCGGGCCTCGGTTTCCCCTCAAGGCGGGGCGGGGCGGGGCGGAGATCCCGTGGGTCTTAGAGCCTCCTGCAGGGGGCGCCCGTGAGCGGCTCGGCTGGAGCCGGGGCCCGAGAGAGAGGCAGCAGAGACCGCGGGAGCCGGCGCGCGAGCTGCAGGTCAGCCGGGGTCCCGGTACGGGGTACGGATTCCTAGGGTCTCAGGGGGCGTGGGGCCGTCGAAAGCTGTCAGGAAGGGGTAGGGGCCTGACGGCTCGAGTCCCCTCCCACTAAGTGTACCCACCGCTCCGAGCCTCTCTACCCGCCGCCGCCGGAGAGGGAGTTCACAGGGCTGGGGTCCGAGTCTTGTCGGGCGGCAGCGACCGGAATCGCTGGTGCAGGGCGGCTCAGGCCTGGTTGCACATGCTAAGCCGGGCCTGGGACAGCATGCGGACCCTCGAGGCCACCCCCAAACTGGCCCGGAAGGTGCGCAGGGGTAGGCGGGGAGGAGAAGGGGTGCAAGAGCGCAGCAGCCCCCAGAGGCGCGGGGTGGAAGGGGCAGACATCCGGACCCGCAGGCGACCGGTGGAAGCCGTCCGTTGGTCCGTCTGGGCGCCACAGGCCGACCCCAGGGCGTTCAGGGAACCTGAGCGCCAGGCCAGGGTTGGGCAGTGCTTGGGGGCGCAGAGACGCGAACTTAGAGCAGGCGAATGGGACCCGAGAACCGGAGGGGGCTCCCATAGGTGGCGCATCCCGGGGCGGGGCCGGTATTGGAGGAGGCGTGGAGAGCAGACGCTCAGTATCCCGCACGCCCGGGACGCGGCGAGAACGGGAGTCGGACGGTTGGGTGAGCGCGGGTACGTCCCGTGGTGACGGGAACCGGACTTAGGGAACCACGGAGAGGCCGGAGGACCGGCGAGGGTGGCTGCGCTCCTCGAACTGGTCCTGGCCGGCCTCCGGGCTGCCCTGAGCAGGGCAGGAAGGTAGGAATGGCGGGAACAGTGGTGGCTCTCCAGGGATCGGTGCGGGACAGGGATCACGGAGGGGCCGTGCGCGGGCCGTGGAGCAGACATCTCTGCGTCTCCACCCCGCTTTAGGTTTTAACTTCCCCGACTGTACTATGGGAGCTCGAGGGGTTGGGGGGAGAGGCCAGAAGGTGGGTGAGTCTCCCCACCCTGTTTTCCCCAGGACTGGAGGAGTCCTGGCTGGTTCCCCCCGGGAGGACTAGGCTGCCTGCCCCCTGTAGTCAGCTCTCCATCCCCGTCATAGGCTGCGCTTCCACACACAGGGCCTGTGTCCTCCTTAGACCTGGTGTCCAGGCCACCCTCTTTTCGCCTCTGCTGTCCAGCCACTGTGGACTCCCAGCCTCTGCACCCTCCAGAAGTCTGTGTCTCCACCATGTGCCCCCCCCCACCCCGAGCTGTCCCTGGGGGTCCCAGCCCTGAGGACCATCATAGGAAGCTCTTAAGAGCAGAAGGATGCTGTGGGTTCAGGGGCTGCTGTGGCTGGTCCTGGAGTGGCTGGGGAGGCGCTGCCCTCTAAGACAGCCCCTTGTCTCAGGTCTTGGCAGGCCTGTGGTGGAGCTCCCCACTGAGGGTTGTCCACTGGTAGTGGTGGCAACACCTCCTTGCTCTGCCCTTGCCCCTTAAGGCCTCCCTGGCCCTCCCAGGTCTTAGTGCCCCTCATGCCAGTGCCCCTTTATCCCCATGCCCTCACAAAGGTTCTGGGCTGAGCTGGCTCCCCTGCTCATAGCCTTGGGGAGGCTGAGAGCAGCCCCAGTGGCTGGGAGGGGATAGACCTAGGGCTGGGCTAGTCCTGGGTGGCCTTTGGGGGCTTGCATGTTGCCCCCCTCATGTTGGCCTGTGACATGCAGGTCCCCGACCACACCCTGGTTCTGCACCCTAGGAGCCCACAGCGTAAGAGGGCAAATGTCTGGCTCTGTGGACAACCCAATGGGCTGGAGATCTCACTGCCCAGACCTGGGTCCCGATCTTGACTTGCGCCCCAGGCGACCTTGAGCAAGTGACGCCCACGGAACCATCTTCTCAGGAGCAGGGCTTGCTGCACAGAGAGCGACCAGGAGACGGGCACTAGCTTTGGGGACAGGAGGAGGCTGGGTGACCAGAGGACAAGCAGGGTCTGTGCTTGAGCCAGGGATCCATGGAGGGGCCTCTCTCGTGGGGCTGGAGACACCACAAGGGTCGCTGTTAGCAGAGGGACATGCGGACTGTGGTTGGATTGGGGCAAGCATCTGGTTTCAGGGCACCATACCCTGCAAAATTCAGGGTCTCTGGGTGGACATGGGCAGTGCCTGCCGAGTAGGACACAGCCCCCTGGTGGCTCTCCACAGAGACCCTGCCGTAGCTCTTACTGCCATCTAACTTGCCTGATTCCTGAGCCACCTCACCCTGGATGAACTGAAATGCCGCCCAGCTGTCTTATGGCGTCTGATTTTCCTGCCACCGCCCCAGCCAAACACTGAAGGAAGTGCACACGGGAGCCAAGGGAAGGACCCAAGGACCAGACCGAAAGCGCAGGTGTGCAGGGCGGGTGGAAAGGGGGTGTGGTGTGTGCGTTGGGATGCTGAGCTGGTAAAAGGGATGAGCCCTAGCCCTGGCCAGGTGCCCGAGTGGGTTGGAGCATTGTCCCCTACGCCAGAAGGTTTCGGGTTTGATCCTCAGGGCACTTATGAGAGGCAACCCGTCCGACGTTTCTCTCTTACATTCGTGTTCCTCTCTGTCTCTCTCTCTCTCTCAAATCAGTAAACATACCCTTGCATGAGGATTATAACGGGGGCGGGGGGCGGTGAGTCCTAGCCCCCAGGGTAGGTAGGGGTCTGGGCCCAGGGAAGCGCTGGTGGCCACTGAAGGGCGGGGTTGCCCTGGGTCAGGGTTGACTGGCCAGTGGGCGCAGCGCTGAGGGCAGGTCCCTAGACTGGGCCCAGATGGCAGATGGGGAGCGGGGAATGGGCAGGAGCTCAGAGCTGAGGTGCAGAAAGCAGCACCCAGGGGACTGCTGTCCTCTCAAGCAGTGCCTGGGAGCTCTGGGTGGGGAGAAGGGGCAGTTAAGAGGCAGAGTCCCCTGCTCAGCCCACAGAGTCATGGAAGGGGCCCCTGGGGCTTGGAAGCCGTGGGGTGATGCGGGAATGGGAGGGTCTGGATTCGGGGAAGCAGCACTGCCCCCACTCCAGCCCGGGGAGGTGACACCCGGGGAGGGAAGCCGCCCCGGCTCTCCAGGGCCCCTCAAGTCATCTCTGCCTGGAATCCCTCCGTCTCTCCTCTCACTTCCCCGTCCCCCCAGTCCAGCCCACACGGCCCCTCCTCTGAGAAGACTTGCAGATGCCTTTGGGCCCACACCCCCTTCTGCTTCTGAAACTGCTGGGCAAAGGCGAGGCACTGTCCCTCCGTGGTGTCACCTCTGCTGCTGCTCCAGTCAGCCCAGCAGTCGCCCGGAGTTAAGGCTGCCTTGGTGGCACCGTGTTGGTGCCTCCCCTGCTGTCTGGGCTGGTGGTTCCTGCCCAGAGCCCCCCCCCAGGGCTGGCACCTTTCTTCCCATCTGTCACGGGGGTCTTCACGTCCGGCCCCTAAGTGGCCTATGCAGACTGTGAGTGGGGTCCGAATGGGCCAAGGAGCAGGGGTGGGGCCGAGCGGCAACCACCCTGACCACAGGCGCTGCTCCAGCTGGTCTGGCGACCCTGGCAGCCTCTCCCTTCAGCCCGCAGGGCCGCGTCATCACACCTCTGGGGTCCCCGGAGTGCTCTGCCTCCCTCCTGTCCTCAGCATAGCCCCCTCTGGGCGGCCACTGCAGCCCTGCCGCCGGCCAGCCCTGCTCTTTAACAGGCCAGTTGCTGCCAGGACCCCACCCCAAGCCACGGAGTCTGCTCTCAGGGTCATCTAGAAGCCCCTCCCCTCTTCAGACATCACAGTGCCTGTCACCTTGCCACTCCAGGGTTCTCCTGACGGAGGTCGGGGTGCACCTCACTCCCCGTGGCTGGCTGTACACACACGAGGAGCCTCCACACTGAGTGGAAGCCTCTTACGTGGGGTCTCAGGGAGTGTTGGATGGAGCGGGGCTGCAGCCTTCTGGGCTTCTCCACCTGAGGGCAGGCACCCAGCACTTTGTATTGAGGTGTGGCCCTGGGGGGGCGTCAAGTGAGGTGGCCACCTCAGGCCGGGACAGGCAGGGCCCACAGCCTCTCTGGCATCTGCCCTGGACTTGTGGGGATGGGAGGGGACTCTGGGTGTCCAGTGGGGAGAAGGGAGCCGGGGCAGGCCCTGGCGCCCCCGGAGCTGGTGTTGTGGAGTCTGCTGGGGGACCTGGCTCAGTGCAGGCAGCCTGCTCTCCACCCTGTTCCTGCCCACATCCTGTCCCCAGGGGCTGAGAGTTGCAGCCACACACCCAAGGGGCAGTGGGGGAGGGGGCACAGGCTGCACCAAGTTCCTGAAGTTGGAGCTGCCAGCAGCCCTGCAGGGAGGGAGGGAGGGAGCGAAGAGGCTGCTGGTACTTGGTGGCTGGTCCCCTCCAGGCAGCACCGGAAGACACCTGCCAAAACAAGAGGGACTTGGGGGTCCCTGGGCCCTGGACTTCTGGGAGCTGGTGCCCAGCCTAGGCCCACCGAAGGCCAGTCATGGCAGAGCTTGCTGAGGGCTGCAGTTGGGAGCGGGAACCGAGCTGCCTGTCCCACTGTCTTCTGTGCTTGTTGTGCTCTCCACGCGGAGAATGAGCTCCCATGAGGCAGGTGTCGCTGACCCTCATCTCCTTCCGTGTCGCTCAACTCGCTCCTTACGGAGTGTGTCACTCTGGGAAGTTTTGGGGAGAATTTCTCTGCGTGGTCTTCGGGTCCACAGTCGCAGTCTCGCAGTCCCCAAGCGCACTGGGGCAATCGTATTCTCTGCCTCGGTCCCTCTGTTTTCCCTTCCGATGTGATTTATTGACTTGGTATTGTTTCTCGTTTGTATCTGTCCACTCTTGTTGCCTTTCTGTCAGTCGATCCGCAAGTTCTCATTCTCGTTCATGCACACTATTCCTTTCTTTATCTCTTTGAAGATCCTAAAGTCTTTGAAAACCACCAGGTGGCAGCTGGCTCTCAGGACAGTCTCAGAGGACACATCCTTCTTTAAGGCTGTCGGCTCAGGGCCGGCGGGGACCAGGCAGCACCGAGTTCCCTGCGGTCCAGCGGCTGTCTGGCACAAAACAGGTATTTGGGAAACGTCTATTATGAGAGTAGTGGGGAAGTCTGAGGCCAGGACTCTGGAGCCCAGGAATGGGCCGTGGGTGGCAGCGACAGGTCTGATTCACAAGTCGGGTTTGGTGGGTTGCCCTTGGCCTCACCCGAGAGCAGATGTGTGGGTCCCGCCTGGAAGCTAGCTGGCAGGCACCTCCATCCCGTGGGTTTGGGGTGCAGGGCACAGCCACCATCTGTACACACGCACAGAAAGCCTCGCCGGTCTGGAATACAGGGAGCCAGACTTGGGTTTTGGTGAAATGGGGTTTTAAGCAAAGCGGCCAGGGCAGCGAGGGCGCGGAGGAGGGCGGGGAGAAGTGGCGCCTGGAGTGCTGTGGGCTTGCCTTTCCAGGCTCCTCCTGCACGGTCCCCGGCGGGCGCCTCTAGCTTGTACGGGACAGCTTCCGACCTCTGCTCTGTCCCCAGCAAGGGACAATCACAGGGAAATAATACACGATTAATATTTAATTTCCCCTCCTGGCTAGCAACAGAAGACTCGAGGATTAATTAGCTGGACAGAACCAGCAGAGAGGATTAGGAAATTGCCGGGTCCTGGGCGCACCCCACCCCCGCCGCGTGGGCTCCGACCTTCCCGAAGCTCTCGGAGGCCTCCTGGGGAGGGCGGCGGGGAGAGACCCGCCCGCTGCTGTGTTTTCCGTGGGCATTTCCCCAGGGCAGGGCCACCCTTTATGTTTCCAGTAGGGTTGGTTGAGGTCATTAACTTCCTTGAGGGCTTAGCCCCCTCACCTGTAACAGAAGGTGCGTGGGCACAGGGAGAGCACAGGCGGCCCCCAGCGCCCTGTCAGGCCACACGAGCAAGTTAGGGGGGTCTGGAGCGCAGTCCGTGTGTCCAGGCTCCAGTTCGGGGAGACACAGGGTGTGGGGACTCCGTGGAGGCCGGGGACCTGGCTCAGACTGGCTGGTCGAGTGTGATGATCCCTAACTCCTGTCAGTGGAGTGTTATCAGCTTGAAACTGGCCACAAGGGGAACCTTTATACCACAAGAGTCTGGCAGAGGCCACACAGGTCATGGTGCCCCCACCCCCTGCCCATTTCCTGCCTAAGGCTGGGGCGTTCCTAACTTCCCACAGAACCTGGTCTCTTCCCTGCCAGGCCTGCCCCACGGTGCCTCAGCCTCCACCCGGCTGCACTGCTCGGGCCGGGGACTCTGGTCGGGTGATGCCCAGGTTGGCCGTGGGGCCGGGGCAGCCTCCCCAGGGTGTCCTGGCAGCATCTGGAAGGGCCTGCGGGGCTGCTGCAGGCGGGGCCGTCGGGGAGCCAGGCGCGCACCGAGGCAGCCTTTAGGACCCCGCCAGCAGGGGTGTTAGCTGTGTCTCTAGCTCCTTGCAAGGCTGACCGGGGGCGGCAGGAGGATCTGTTGCCACCAGGGAGACTTGGGGGTAGGTTGGGGGGCGTCCCAGGCCTGGTGGACAGCAGGAAGGCAGTTTCTGTTTAGTCAGGAGGTGTGTTGCTACCGGGTGCTGTTCTGCACGGGAGCCCAGAGCGCAGAAGGTGGTCCCAGGGGCTGGGGGCACGCAGGCAGGTGCCAGGGGCTACCGGGGAGCTTCGCCGAGCAGAGGGCTGGGTTGGACCTGTGGAAACCCTGGCTCACACGGAGTCAGTCAGGTGTCCAGGGCAGGTGTCAGAGGTGCGACTCAGCTCCAAAAAATGCAGTATAGTGGGTTATTGATGACCCCACCTCACCGGCCTTTTGGCAGGGCCCTCTGACTCCGCAGGACGGTTCGGGGCCAGGTGAGGTTCCCAGCCTGGGCTGGCTGCGTTGGCAGGGGTCATGACACCTCTTGGTGCAGATTCTTTCAGGCAGGCCCGCTGCGGTCAGAAGGATGGCAGGCGGCAAGTGAGGAGCCCAGGAGGAGGCAGGCGTCTCACTGGTGGTGGGGGCTCCCTGGGCTTCACCAGGGCCAATGAGACCGTGGCCTGCGGGTGCGTCAAGGAGGCCCCAGCTGGGCAGAACCTGTTACGTCCCTTCTGCAGAACAGGGATGGCACCCTGGACACACGGCCCCTGCGGTTGGGGGCCCTGATGAACGCTGCTCCAGCTGCAGGCTGGGAGCACCGAGGGACTCTGTGTGGCCAGGGACGGCACCGGGGGAGTTGGTCTGGCCCACCTCTGCAGGGGACCCACGTGGTAAGCAGCCGGCTGAGGGTGCCCTGTGCATAGCAGGAGCTCAGCGTCACTGGTTTATGCCCCTCGGGGCCACGTCTGGGTGAAGCCACAGGCTCTGGGAGCCCCTGGGATCTTCAGACCCCTTGCCTCCTCTCCTCCTGCTCCCCAGGGTTGGGTGCTCTCCTCCCAGCTTCCTAGTGGGCATGGGGGGTGCCCCCCAGGACTCTGGCCGCCTGAGGCACAGAGAAGTCAGAAGGAAACTTGGGGCTCATCTATGGCAGTCCTCTGTCACCTGCCAGACAGGGTGCGGGTGGCCTGGCCCTTGGAACATGGCGAACGTTCTTCTTCCAAGGTCGTAGTTGCACTTGATCCCTCATTTCCTGGAGGAGAGGGGAAAGGTGCAGCCCCCAGAGCCCCAGTGCAGGTAGAGGCCGTGGGGCTGCCCATGCACACCCACAGCCCCATGAGAGCCAGGACTGGTGGGGGGAGGGGTGGCTGGCATGAGCACATGTGAGTGTGACGGGCTGGGACAGAGGCAGTGGGAAGAGGCCCCGGGCTGGCGGAGGGATGGAGACCTTCTCACAAGCTCAAGGGAGTTTTCGGTTGGGGAGACCGAGACCTCTGCTTCTGCTTCTGAGCGGGTGCCAACGATTCCTTACATTTCCATGGCATTTTGACTCCGCGGAAGCCTCTTCACTCAGAACTCTTTATGTCCTTCTCATGGACTCATGGGAAAGAGCTGAAATGGCTCCCAGAGGCTATGTGGGGTCCAGACTCCTCGGATATCAATGGGGAAACTGAGGCCCAGAAGGAAAAAACATTCCTGGCCACAGTCCCCCAGCAAGTCCTGGCTGAGGGCCCGCTCCCTGCTCGGCCCAGAACTGAACTCAGCCCATTCTGGTGCAGGCAGGCAAGAGGGTTGGGGAGCAGGCGTTGGTGGTGGGGGGCAGGGAGGCTGCTGCCCCGCCCAGACTCGCAGTCAGCAGCGGGGGCTGCCAAGGGGCGGGCTCCCTCTGCGCCTGCTCCACCGCCCTGCGTAGCACCCCTGGTGAGGCAAGAGGGCTTATCTGCTGGCGGTGGGAGACAGGACCAGACAGCCTCCCAGGTCCTTCCAGATGGGAGCTCTGGGGGTCCCCAGCCTGCCCCTGACCTGGACCGTGTAGGAAGGAGCTGGTAGTTCCCCGGGAGAGCTCTCAGGGCACGGAGCTGACTGAGGCTGGCTGGAGGAGGTGGGTGGGCCTGGGGGAGCCCACGAGACGAGGGGGCCTTTCCAAAAGGGTCGCGGTGGCAGTGAGCTCAGGGACCAGGAGGCTTGAGAAGCTGAGCGAGGGGGATTAACGTGAGTGCCTTTGAAAGATTCTCAGCTCTAGAAAAAAGCAGAGCCCGGGCTGAGGGCCTCTGCCGGGAGTCTTCTGCTGTGTCCGCGCTGCAGGGGTCCTGCTCCTCACTCGGTTTCTCCTTTGGCAGGTGCCCCGGAAGCTGAGCTGAGCCATAATGCCGCCAGAACCCCCGGAGGGGGCCTGGTTTCTGGAGACTCCGAGTCAGCTGTGCAAAAGCCCTTAGGGAGCCCCCGTCACCGGCAGGCACGCCCTTGACTCCTGGGGGCAGGGGCTCAGGGGCCTGGACGAGGCCGCTGCACTGCAGCTATGGACCGTGAGCTGGCCCGGCCCGAGTCCTCACCGACCCCGCTCGTCTGTGGACAAGCCCACCATGGGCTCCTCGGTGTACATCGTGGTGGAGCTGGCCATCGCCGTGCTGGCCGTCCTGGGCAACGTGCTGGTGTGCTGGGCGGTGTGGCTGAACAGCAACCTGCAGAACGTCACCAACTACTTCGTGGTGTCCCTGGCGGCCGCCGACATCGCGGTGGGGGTCCTCGCCATCCCCTTTGCTATCACCATCAGCATAGGGTTCTGCGCCGCCTGCCACAGCTGCCTCTTCTTTGCCTGCTTCGTCCTGGTCCTCACACAGAGCTCCATCTTCAGCCTCCTGGCCATCGCCATTGACCGCTACATCGCCATCCGCATCCCACTCCGGTGAGCGAGGGCTGGGGTGGGCTGCCCCCGTTCTCTTCCCTGGCACGGCTGGTGCTGGGTTCAGGGCCAGGCCCAGGCTGCCTGTGCCAGGTTCTGGTCTGTGTCCTGGCCACGGTGAGCCCTGGGTCAGGGTCTGGTCTGTGGTGGCAGTGGGCGGAGGTGACAGGGCCATGGAGCTCAGCCTGGGGCTGCCGGGGCTTGGCTGGCACACCGCCAGCGGTCGTGGTGATTTAGCCGGTCCCCGTGGGCAAAAGGGCATCCTGGCCCTCCCCAGCCTCCCCCGACGTGGAGGCTGCCCCGCTCTGGCGGTGGGCAGATGTGTGTGCCCCAGGCCCGGGCAGCGTGTCTGGGCCGTTCTCCACACGGTGTGATGCTGGGGACGGGGCGGAGGGGGCACCGTGGGGAGCACAGGACCTCGGATCCAGAGCCCGCCCACCTTCCTCCAGCCCCTCTGAGCAGGCCTCAGAGTTTGCACATTAGGAAAATGTCCCAGAAGGGGGAAGTGAGCTGGCCCAGTGCCACAGTGAGTCATTTGAACCTATATGCAAATTCTGTGTGCCTGAGGTCACCAGCCTATTGCAGCAGGGCTGGTCCAGGGGTTTTTCGGTATGAATCTTTTCATACCGAAGTGACTTCAGCCACAGATTGTGTAAGTGAAGTCTTTCCCTGAGGCCAAGTTTACTTAGTGTGGCTTCCACCTCCCCAGCCAAGGGTGAGGCTAGGAAGTGTCCCTCCTGGGGGGCACCCTGGGGCTGCCTGCCACACCTTCTTGCCCCTCTATCCTGGAGGCAGCCTGGTGGCTGCAGGCTCTCGAGGAGGTCTCCAAGGAAGTTACCCCTTCCCGGGGGTGGGGGGGAGTCTCCCCAGGAGGCGAGGCGCCTACCTACAGGGCAGCAGCAGCGTGAGCCTCAGTGGGAGGCAGGCAGGAGCAGTGAGCAAATGGAAATTCAGCGTCGAACCCAAAGGGGCCCTCAGAGGTCGTTTCCTCTCCCTTTCTGGACGGAAAAAGCAGGCCCAGAGGAGGGTACAACCCTCAGGGCCGCACAGTGAGTTGGTAGCACGGCTGGTCTGGGCCTGGGAAAAGCCGTGGCCGCCACCCACGGTGCCTTCAGCCTCTGGGGAGCCGGGCCGCAGGCTGTCCCCAGGCTCCCAGAACCTGCACCGGAGGACCCTTCCTGCCACCCGGCTCTGCTCAGATGAGGGCAGGAGCTGGCCCCAGGCAGCCCAGGACGCCCCCTGCCTCCGGAGAGCCCAGGACCCGTGTCAGAACCAAGGCCCAGCCTCGGTGGCAGAGCAGAATCCGGAGCCCAGGCTCCGAGCACGAAGGCGCGTCCGTGGGCCCCCAGGGGGACTGGAGAGCGGAGGACTGGTGTCCACCGCAGGGCAGGCCGAGAGCGTGAGCTGGGGCTGCGCCAGCCTGATGGGAAAGCAGAGGCCTCACTTTCACTTTCTCCCCGACTCAAAGGGCAGCTCCGTTCCAGGGAGAGATTGAGGCTGCTGGTCTCAGAGGAAAGGGCCTTGGCCTCTTCTTATTTCTGTTTTCCGAGAATCAAAAAAATGACTCCCCAACGTGGGAGGATGAGACAGGCCATGTGATTGTGGAAAGTCAGCTGTCCCCCTGGGGGTCCACTTCCTCATTATAAGAGGGATGGGCCTCTCCTGGCTCACCAAGGTGTTGTGAGGGTCCTGGGAGTGGATGGGAGGGAGGAGGCCCGAAGGCGGGCGGGCCTGGGGCAGCTCTTTCCTGAGCTGCTGGAGGCCCAGAGCTGAGCCCCTGGTGGCGCCGTGAACCCGCCCCACCCCCATCCCGACTGCCGCCGTCTCTGGAGCAGGACCTGGTTCCACCCAGACCTCGGCCGTCGGAGCTCCACTCCCGAAGGCCCGGCCTGGGTCTCTTGGATCTGGAGGCTGACAGAGATGAGGAAGAGGATGCCGCTCAGCCTTCCCCTTCACAGCTGCCAGAGGGTGTCAGTGCAGCAGCCTCTCCTTTGATCTCACACGGGCCTTGTGGTTGGGGCTGGCGTTGGGGGCTGGCGTTGGGGGCTGCCATCCTGAGGAGCAAGAGGAGGAGAGGGTCTCCTGACACAGGCGACTGCAGGGTCATTCGCCGTCTGGTTCCTCAAGGGCCCTGGGCCCGTGCCGCCCGGGAGGGCAAGGCCCAGGGAGGTGTCTTTGCCGGGGCTCCTGCAGGCGAGCTGGGCCTGAGGGGGACTTAGGGGAGGCATGTCGGGACCTGGGCTCCGCGCAGCCCTGGAGCCCCTGCCCGACTGGGCTGCCCTTCCTGCCCTTCCTCCTTTGTCCCCTTCCAGCTGGGACCCGGTCCTCTCCACGGGCATTTCCCCTCCACTTACCTGCGTGGCTACTCTGAGGTCCAGCCGCTGACCCGTGCCCTGGGCGCCTGGCCCCAGGCCTGCACTGCTCTTTCTCTCCCTCCCTCCTCCGACTTTCTTTCCTTCATTTCCCTTTCTTTCTAGAATTCAGTTGCAGAAAACTCTATGCGCTCCTTCCCAGGGACCCTGGGGGCCTCGGGCAGGGTCTGGTCCGGCAATGGGTGAGAAAGAAGCCCGGCCGGAGGCCAGGGCAAGAGACAAGGGCTCTCTGTGCCCGGGGGAACTTCTGTGACCATCGTCTCCTGTCAGTCCCCAGGGAGCAGTCTCTCTCCTCAGGATGTGGGCCGAGTACGGGCAATAGGCCTGAAGTCACTTGTGGAGGGAGAATCAGCCCATGGGGACAAAACCTGTGTCACCTGGCTTCTAAGGAAGGCAGGATCAGGAGAGAGAGCTCCCTGGAGGAGGTGATGCTGGTAGGTCTTGCAGGACAGGGGTGGAGGTGGGGGGTGGTGCAACAGGAGGGGTCCAAGCCTAGGTAGAGACCCCAGGAAGGAGTGAGCCTGTGGGTTAGAGGCCAGGGAGAGGTGGTGGGGACAGAAGCACAGACAGGAAGGGACATGCGAGGCCAGCCCAAGCCTGCCGGGGCCCAGCGTAGTGTTTGGCCAGTGAGTCTTCGACCTTGGATCCCCGGCTCGTTTGAACGACTTAGGGACGCTCCCCTTCTCAGTGCAGGGCAGATGCACGTGAAGCCCCCCACAGTTGTGGGCTGTGTGCTCGGGTCATGGAGTGAAGCCCGCCCAGGGTGACAGGAGCCCCCAGGATGGGGCAGCCTGTGAGCTGGGGGACCCAGGGAGGTCGTGGTACCTCCCGATGTGGACAGAGGCTCTGACACCCTCTTCTTCCTATGACACCTCTGGGCTCCCTGGAACATGCTAGATGGCCGTGTCACCCTTTCCCCCGGACAGTCCACGCCTGGGCCCAGGAGGCCAATATGTGGCCGCTTTAGTTGCAGACACAGCCCAGGGGTGGCTGCCGGGTCAGGCTGTGGCTCTGCCAGCCTTCCGTTGGGGCCCTCACCTCTTCACACTCCTCGTCGGCCCGGGGCCAGGACCGTAGGCCTGAGCGCTTACTTTTGCACCCCAAAGCAAATCTGTTTGGTGTTTTAAAACATAAATAATACTTGTGAGTACTAAAACATCAAAAAATAACTACAGGGCATATGGTGCAAGATCGCCCCCCACGCCACCCCTCCGCACCCTCTCTGCAGGGCCGTCTTGGGGGCCATTCCGGAGACATTCTCTGCTCACCTGTGCAAGCGCTGCTAACGTGTGTGTGTTTCTGTCCCCGCAGGGGGCATTTTCTGAGAACGCAGTGGCAGGCTGTCCCTCGACAACAGACAGACAAGGGATTTCAGACCGTGCCCCCAGAAGCCTCCAGCCAGGCCCTGGCGTCCCCACTGGTCTTCAGCCAGTTAACTGTTGCTGGCCTCCTCTCCCCCCACGGCTCTGCTGCTGTAATTGCCTTGGCACATGGGCTAGAAGGTCTGCCGCCAAGGACGGTTTGAAATCCTGAAAACAGGAGGCCTCCAGGGTCCTCTGCACCATCCCCCAAACTGTCCTTTCTGCTTGATTGCTTCACATGACAGGCAATTCACTACCGCCCGGGGCAGCTCATTTCTCCCATGAACAGCTCAGCTGAGGAGCTCTTACCTGGAGCCTCGCTGTGACCTGCCTGCCTATAATTCCCACCTACTAAGTCTACACTGTACCTTGTGAGCCAGTGCTCACAGGCCCCGGATTCTTAGTCCCTCTTTACAAATGAGGAAACCGAGGCTCAGAGAGTCAGAATGACAGGAACGCCAGGGAGGGATATATATACTTCTCACCACTACTGAATGAGAGTATATAAATTCAGATCAAGAAAAGAGTACCAGAAAGCACTGCCTGGTACAGAGCAAGTGCTGTGTAAGTATTAACTGCAAAAAAAAGAGAGAGAAAGAGAGAGGAAGGAAGGAGGGAGGGAAGGAAGGAGGGAAGGAAGGAAGGAAGGAAAGCCGTGACTCTGCATTTGAGGCTCCAGAGTAGAGAGAGAGCCCTTGGTGGGAATGGGCAGGGTCGTGGCCCCCGCTGGGTGGGGCCCTGGACCTCCAGGGGTGGCCCTTGCCCGTTACAGTTTTCATTCCGGAAGTTCCAGGATGGACAAACTGATCTTGGCCTGAGTTGCCTCTGGGCTCCTGGATGAGCCACGGCAAGTCCATTCCTCTGCTTGGGCCTCAGTTTCCCCACCTGTGAAGTGAGGGCTAGATCAGAGGTCCGAGGCCACCAGGTTTTTGTTGTTGTTTTCTCAATTTGAATTAGTTGACAAAATTTAAACCTGGGAAGACTACCCGGGAAACCAGCCCCCCAGCCCCTCCTGAGGTGCGGCAGCTCGGGGCGCAGTTTGCAAGGCAGCGCGGGGCTGGGGGTGTCCCCGCCTCCTGCGCGCAGAGTGGACGCGCTGCAGCCCACCTGGCACGTGCATTACCTGTGGGCCCTGTGTTTGCCTCCCGCGGACTGGATGTTTCTGTGGGTGCTTCCAGTTCTGGACTTAAGTACAGCCCATCCTCCTTGGCACCTACGGTGTCCTGTGTCCACGGTGGTGACTCGGAGATGGATGCTGGAAAGCCCGGCCCCAGCCGCTGGGGGCCCCGGTGAGGCTGGGGTTAGTCGTGGTCCAACAGGAAGCCTCTCCCAGAAGATAACTAGCCTCACCTCTGACCTCGCAGAAAGGATGGGGTTCACTGGGTCGAGGGGAGGGCAATCTGGTGCTGCTGGAATCAGAGTCCTGCAACAGAAGGTCATCCCCAGAAGCTGCCTTCCTCAAGTAGGATTTTTTGGTGCTTTTAGTAAAAGCTGTGCCACTTCTCCTGTGGACCCGGAGTCAGCTTCCTGGCCAGCAGGCCACACCCCCAGTGAGGGGCGGAGCGTGGCTCTCCAGAGCAGCGCTTTTCCAGCCGGTGTGCCACAGGAGTTTGTGAAGCAGGCAACACCTGAATTTGGAGGGGAACGAGGGTGTCTCATTTGGCCTGGGACCTCCATCGCTCCTTTATCCTCTGTGCCACCTCTCCCCAGGGGCTTCTAGACACCCTGAGTCAAGCGTAGAGTACAAGAGGTGGGAATCACCGATGGGTCTGGTCTGGCTGGTTCTGCCTTTGGCTGGCGGGCCCACCCTCCTCACCTGTAGCCACTCGGCAGGGAATCTGCTCCAGCGTCAACAAGGGGTTGACGATGTCAAATCATCACATTAATGCCCTGAAACAGCACTACCTGTAACACTGTTCAGTAATCACCTGAGCAGCTGCACGGCGGTTTCCCCTCCAGGGAGCCCGCTCTCCGTACCTCCTGTGAGGTCTGAGGAGAGACCTGGCCCCCCCTGAACGGAAGGGGATACTGAGGCTGGGAGGGAGGGAGCGGTGCTCGGGCTCCGACACTTGGCTCTGCCCAGCCCTGGTGTCTCAGGCTTCTGACGCTGGTGTCCTCTCCCCAGGTACAATGGCTTGGTGACCGGTGCAAGGGCCAAGGGTATCATTGCCGTCTGCTGGGTGCTGTCCTTTGCCATCGGCCTGACACCCATGCTGGGCTGGAACAACTGCAGCCGGCCGAAGGAGGACAGGAACCACTCGAAGGGCTGCCGGGAGGGCCAGGTGGCCTGCCTCTTCGAGGACGTGGTGCCCATGAACTACATGGTGTTCTACAACTTCTTCGCGTGTGTGCTGCTGCCCCTGCTGCTCATGCTGGGCATCTACCTGCGCATCTTCCTGGCGGCCCGGCGGCAGCTGAAGCAGATGGAGAGCCAGCCCCTGCCCGGGGAGCGGGCTCGGTCCACGCTGCAGAAGGAGGTCCACGCGGCCAAGTCGCTGGCCATCATCGTGGGGCTCTTTGCCCTCTGCTGGCTGCCCCTGCACATCATCAACTGCTTCACCTTCTTCTGCCCTCAGTGCAGCCACGCGCCCCCCGGGCTCATGTACCTGGCCATCATCCTCTCCCACTCCAATTCCGTGGTGAATCCCTTCATCTACGCCTACCGCATCCGTGAGTTCCGCCAGACCTTCCGAAAGATCATCCGCAGCCACATCCTGAGGCAGCGGGAGCCCTTCAAGGCAGGCGGCACCAGCGCCCGGGCCTTGGCAGCTCACGGCAGCGACGGAGAGCAGATCAGCCTCCGCCTCAACGGCCACCCTCCTGGGGCGCTGGCCAACGGGAGCGCCCCCCACCCTGAGCGGCGGCCCAATGGCTGCACCCTGGGGCTGGTGAGTGGAGGGGGCGCCTGCGAGTTCCATGGGGACACAGGGCGTCCCGATGCGCAGCTCCTCAGCCACGAGCTCGGGGGAGCACACCCAGAGTCTCCCGGCCTCGAGGGCCCCCTGGCCCGAGATGGAGCAGGAGTATCTTGATGAGCCACTGAGTTGGCCCCTTCCAAAGGGAAGGAAGTCTTTCTCTTTCTGGTTGGAGGAACCAGCCCCGGTGGGAGAAGAGTAAAAGTGCTGGGAGACCCTTCTTGTGGCTGGTTCCCACTTTGGACTAAGGAGGGAGCCCTGGCTGGCGCAGCATGAGGCCCAGCCGGGAGGCTTTTGAGTCCGAGGAAGCGGACGTTTCAGGCTGGGAGACCCTGCGCCCGGCCAGGGCCACAGCACCAGAGCATCTTGGCCGGGCAAGGCCTGGTCCCCACTCGAGAAACATGCAGAAGTGCCACCTTATGTTCTGCAGAGCAGCTGTGGCGGAGCAGGCTGGCCGGCCCTGAGGCGGGGGAAGGCTCCGCAGGTCCCCCAACACTCACACCACCCTCCCCAGATGTTCCCAGGGTTCAGGAGCTGCTTCGCCTGGAGGTAGCGTTTGATGTATTTTCCAGGAGAAATTGCAAGCTTGAGGGTGTCCTTTTTACCGCTGTCCCTCCCTGGCCACGGGGGCTGGTGTCAGTCCTCTGCCAACCCCAGGAGTAGGCCCAGGGAGCCCAGGCGGCCGTCCCACCCTTTGTACTTCTTACCCCTCCAGTCCCGGGTGGTCTCTTAGGGCGGCTGGGCTGGGCTGGGCTGGGCTTGCAGAGGCGGAGTGGTGAGGGAGCTGCGCCAGCGGGTGGGCTCCGGGGAGGGGGTCCCTGGCCGGCCAGGGGGTGAGCCTGGGTAGGTCAGAGCTGCCCAGACAGGGGCCCTACCTAACTGCCTTTCTGAAGGGAATGTTTTTTTTTTCCTGAGATAAAATAAAAATCAAGCCATGTTGTGTTTTAAGCTTGTCCAATGAGAATGGCGTCCCAGTTCCTTCCCCAGCCCCGCGGCCAGGCCCAGCACGGTCCCTACGTGTGTGGTGCGTGCGTGAGAGTGCACTCGTGTGCAGATGGACACCCTGCCTGCCTGGGGCCTCCCCGGCTCTCACCCCCAGAGTGGACAGACTGCCCGGTGCACCAGGACCCAAACACCCAGGCGCAGCCCAGAACGAGAGTCCCTGAGACAGAGGGGCTGTGGGGGAGGGGCTTTTACACGCTGCTCTCCTTCCCGACCCGCTGACCCCGCAGCCCCAGGCATTTCCTCAGGGTGGGGCCGCCTCCTCCCTCCCTGTTTACCTTCCTGAAGTCCTTTAAGGTCTGTTACTTCTGTCCTGTGCCCCCCTCCACCCCTCAACTGAGAGGCTGAGGCCCCAGAACGACCTGCAGAGAGACCCGGGCTGGAGCTCAGCCGCCGTCCCCTGAGCCACCCCTCCCGCTCCCAGCGAAGAAACCTGGAAGGAGCAGGTGTGCCCTGCTCACAGCCTGTGTCAGGCACCTGGCCGGGAGCGATGATGTGGTCCTTCTGTGATGGAGAAGTGTGGGCCAGGGGAGGTTCGAGGGCTGGCCCGGCCCTCAGACAGGCCCGGGAGGAACGTCAGAGTTCGGGCCGTCCCTGCTTGGCCTCACCGCGCAGGTGGCTGAACCGCGGAGACTAAACTGCCCCTCTGAACAGAAGGTGAAGAAGTATAGCTAGTAAGAGGCAGAAGTGAACTGAAACCTGGGTCTGACTGCAAAAATCATGTCTTTTTTTCTTCCTCGTTAACTTATTTTAACCAAATCGTAAAGTATAAAATAATAACATGTCCCCACCACTCTGCTTAAAAAACGAAACGCTGTAGCTGCAGTGGAGCGACTGGCCCCTCCCGGGTCGTTACCCTGCTCTCTGCCCCGGAAACACCGCTTCCCCGGGTTTCCTTCAATGCATCGCACATCTCCATGCTTTCGCTAGACAGGGGCTTATGTGAGTGTCCCCAGACCGACACAGACCGGTCTTGGCTGTCTTTCACTGTTGCATCAGTAAGAGGTCCTCTAGGCTGGCTTCACAGAAGAGCCTCTTCGCAGGCTTTGAAAAGCGCCGAAGCCCGAGCCCTTCCCCAGAGGCGCCGGGCAGGCCCAGGCAGCCGTCGTTCCCCTGCCGCTCTGAGTGCAGGGCCAGGCCCCGAACCACTGGAACCATTGCCTGGCCCTGTCTCCCCCGCACCCTGGTCTGTGTGGGCCGGGGGCCGAGCAGAGGCCTGGGCTGTGCCCGGGGAGGCCATGAGCATGGACGCTGCTGGTCCTCACGACCCGTTGGTGGAGCGAGACCAGAAGGAGAACCACGAAGGCAGAGAAGGAAGAGGCCTGGTCTCTCCGGCCTCTTCTGCAGCTCCTTGGGAACCGAGCTCTGGGTGCTGGGCTGCACGGGTGCCTGCTTTGGGGTGGGGCAAGGACCCGGCCAGGGCCTCAGGAAAGGCCTCCAAGTAGACCGGAGCTTCGAGCCTTCTCAGGCCAGCCCACGGCTTGGCTCTGGAGCCCGTGTGAGCGTGTCTGTGTGGGTCCCCAGGACGCCCAGGGTCCTATCTCCACACCCCACTCCTCGTGGGCTCCTGCTATGAGCCGGGTCTCCAGTGCAAGCCCAGACAGGAGCGGGCCCACGTGCCACTCCCTGACCGTAAGAACACACAGGTGTGTCCACTCGCACGTATACCTGGGCAATGCTCAGCTCAACAAGAGTGGGTGCCCACAGCAGCAGCATCAGGGAGACGAGAACCCTGGCCCAGCGCCGTGGGGCGCAGACACTTGTCCACTGTGGGCCCGGCCGTCTGGAGCCCTCCCGGGCCGCCCCAAGCCCCACATCTCTGTCCAGGGGCCCCTCTGCTGTCTCCTGACTTTTTCCGAAGGGCCGAGGGCCCACATGCTTCATCCAGGTTTGTCCTAAGGGCGAGGGTTCCATCACAGAACCTGTCCTAGAGGTGGCCCCAGCCTCCCTCCACAGCAAGTGTGGCCAGGGCTCACAGGGAGGCGTGAACTGCGGCCTGGCTCAAGCTCGGTCCAGCTCATCACTGACTCCCACTGAGGCACAGACACCTGGAAGGCTGCCCATCCCTTCCCCACTCACCACCCGTCTTGCACCCCCACCTGTGTGGCTCTCCCCCCTTGTGATACTGACTCTCCCTCTGGGAGGCCTCACGGGAAATCCTCTAGGCTCCTGGGAACCTGCTGGGGGAGCGGTGTGAGGCCTCAGTTCTACACATGCTGCCCAGGGGCAGGCAACGCAGGGGTGAGGGGCAGCCTGAGAGCAAGAGGAAGTGAGGTGCTGCTGGTGCCCTGCGGACCCACCAGGCTGGGCCTCCCCAAGCCTCGACCCTGGCCTTCTCTCCCACTCTGCTGGGGGGACAGGAACCCGCAGGCCCAGGGAGTGGGACCGGTTCTGGGCAGCTTCACTGTGCTGGGGCCTGCAGAGCGGCCTGTTGGGTTGGCACCGGCACCTAGACCCTGCTCCCTCCCTGTCACGCCGTGCAGTCCCCTGGTGTGGCAGCTCCTGCAGTTCTCCCCACGGCGGCCACTCTCACCCTGAGCCCCGGTGCTGGGCCCAAGCACTGCCCGGGCACCCGGGCGACAGACAGGCCTCTGCTGGCAGGAAGGCTGTGCTGGGGGGAGAAGACCCGAGGTCTGCCGTGAGGTGGCTCACCCCCTGCGGGCCCTCATCTCTGAAAAGTGTGAAGTGTCGGGCTGCCCAGTTCCCTCCTCCCCGCGCCTCTCCCTCCCTGGTCCTTAGGCATCTCTCCCTACAGCTGTCACTCATCATGCGCAGTGAGTGTCACTGTTGGAGCAGCCCCTGTCAGGCTCCCAGCTGGGGAAGGGGTGGGAGACGGTCAGACCTCGCCTCAGAGAAGAGGGGTGGACACAGAACACAGAGCTCAGTGTGGGAGGCCCCTTTCTAGAAGCTCCGGCTTGACCCTTTCTCTTACAGGAGGAGAAAGAGCAGCTCTGGACGATGGAGTGCCGGGAAAGACCGGGCCGGGGCACCGGGAGCAGGAAGCCGGGCCGGGGCTGGGGCCCTCTGAGGGGGACCACGCAGGTGTTGGGAACCTTACACCTGGCTTCTAGCTAAAAACATTGCATTGATTACAGGAACCTGTGCGCTCCACAAAGCCAATTGGCTACAGGTACATGAGGTGTGCACGCGCTCCCCAAGCCAATCGGCTACAGGCACACGAGGTGTCCACGAGTACCAGTTGCACCCAAGTAATCAATAAGCGGGCCCTTCTTTGTCTCGAGCTAGCCAATAGCAAGCAACCTAATCTCCTTCCTCTCCCTCCCCCCCCCTATATATATACCCAGTTCGGAAAAACAAAGTTTGCAGCTTGATCAGAATCTTTTGTCTTGCTGCCATTCTTCGCGCCTCTTGTCCCCCCAACTCATTTGTTCTAGGTAGGTGGTCGAGCCCCAGTTGATTGCTCCGCGGGCCGGAGCACGCAGGGGCGCCTGAACTTTCGGTGTCTCTGGGCCACACTGGAAGGCGAAGAGTGGTCTTGGGCCACACATTCAATACACAAACACTAACAAAAACAAAGAAATCTCATAATGTTTTAAGTAAATTTATGATGTTGTGTTGGGCCACATTCGTAGCCCTCCTGGGCCCACAGGCCTCGGGTCGGACACCCCTTTCCCAGTGGGAAAGGCTCTGCGTGGGACCGGCCACATTTCTTTGCCCTGCCCAGGGAAGTGTCTGGGTGCAGGTGAGTGACTGCAGCTCCGGCTGCCTGGACTGGCACCTGCAGACCAGGAACCTTCCGCAGGGAAGGCTCGGCTGGGACAGAGCGGCTGGAACTGGAGCCCGTCTCCTGACTCTGCTCCTCTCTCAGCTGCCTACAGAGCCCCTGCTTCTGAATGCTGAGCCCGGGTGGCCGGGGGGGGGGGGGTGGTCGTGCCCAGGAGCCACCAACCCCTGTGGAAAATGAGCCGGCTGCAGCCTGCCCCGGCTGCAGGAGGGGATGGCACGAGCCCCCAGGCTTGGGGAGCTCAGGGGACAAACAGGTCACATCCAACTCGGGAGTCAGGCAGGTTGAAGCTGAGTTAACCTTTCTGGGCCGTGTGTTCTGGGGTTTGTTGGGGGGCAGAGGAGTTGGGTGCACGCTCCGTGCTTGATGTACAGCTGCCTACACGGAATTATGCCAACCATTTACAGGCAATTTCCAAGTTAAAATGTTGTCAGAGGGCTGTCACGGCTTTGATCCCTCTTTTCTACGCGTCCTCCCACACTTTCTAGTTGGGGTGGAAAGGGGAGCTGGGGGATAGAGTCTGGTTTAGAGTTAGAGATTTTTGGAATTGTTCAAGTTAGACAGGATTTTTTAAAAAATGATCTGGTTATTCAGTCGGAAAACCCAGGCCCACAGCCCAGCGCCACAACCACTCCGTCCGCCATGGGACTGTTCAAGGCCAGGCCAGGTGCTCTGCAGTCATCCCAGACTGTCGGGGTCTCAGCTGGACTCCCCATTGGGCCTTGGCCAGGGAAGTGCAGTGATCCCTCCGCTCACTGCTCCCAACCACCAACCACCCTGCTTCCCTGGGCTCTGGGTGGGAGGCAGCCCCAGGCTCCAACCCTGGCCTCCGCACTGACTTCTGCTGTGGGCTAGTCATTCTCTGACCTGCGTTTAGAAAAAACAGGGCCAAGGTGAGAGTGTCTCGGAAGGTTTTGAAACATAAGAGCCCTGGGTGGACTGTCAGGACCCTAACAAATCCAGTCTCCATTCAGAAAACGTGGGAGGGCGAGCCACTGTGGCCTTGGCGTCCTCACTGTCAGAGAGTGGAAGGAGGTTGGCAGGGGAGAGAGGCGGAGGGGGGAGCAGGTGCCTCCCCATCGCTGTGCGCTCCTTACTGACACCGCCCAGCCACGGCCAGAAGGAGAAACGCCGTGAGTGTGGATGTAAAGCAGGCACTTGGAAGCCTGTGGTGCCTGGGGGCCGGGTGGTGGGTGTGGGGACCCG